AGAATAAAAGAGAGCATTTTACCCTTTCCTCTTATAATGTCTGTCGTAAGGCCTTACATGTACTAGTATTAGCAAGTCCTTGTTCGTGTGAAATCAATCTTACGCTGAGTATTTGCAAAATATTAATGCCTGTACAATGTATATATGTATCTCAGTTCCTATCTCAGTTGACGTTTAAGAGCATTACATACGCAATACTGCTTTATTTATTCACATGCAAATCATAATGTGAAAATGAAATTGAAAGTAGTGAATGTTACGCAATATGTCAATAAAACATACTAAATTTATTACATTTATAGGTAAATACTAGACACTGATAAGTTTTGAGAAGAAAAACAGAAGCATCATTTATTTATCTTCACTTTACAACACGCCACGAATCATTGTCCAGCATACACTTATTATTTTACGGGAATAAAATATGGTCTGGTGATTGGCTGGTTCGTGAAGATAAATATCCGCGAGCTTGTACGTGCGAATCTCGCGGATATATCTCGTATGCGTATTTTAACAGTATAGATGTAAGAATTTATCTTGATGTTACATATACTCTCTTTGTTTATATACATTCAAAATTATAATCAAGTATAACACAAATTTCTACCTTCATTTATTTCTTGCAGTAAATATATACATGTACATGTATTTCGAACAACAAATCAGCTAATACCTATATGTATATTTCACTTGATATATACTCTTTGATGGAATGTGGGGAATTCTCGTGAATTCATATAAGTCAATAGCATAGATCTTCAATTTTTAAGCAGATTTAACATTTTTGTTTCTAGGTGATTTTCTTTTGAATATAATTCAATTATTTCGACAAATTTTTGTATTTATAGGAATAACAAGTTTTGAATGAGTTCCGTATTTTACGAAACTCCTTTCAATTTCTCTATTACAAGAAAGAAAACGATTAGATGTTTAATTTATTGTTACAAATGTTTAGGAAATACATCCTTTTAACTTCCGTCGACTATTTTTTTCTATGATAATTTATTCAGATATAGATTTTTAAAAGCTCAAATATTTACTATTTCATTGATCTAAAAATACCACAATTGAAGTCATTTTCCATTGAAAAGATTTTTTCAATTCTATCCAGTCAGAATTGACTGGTATATCAAATGAAAACTTTTATCTGCTTTTTAAAATTATGGTTCTAAATTAAATGATGTTGATTAAATAAATATCTATCTCCATTTATTCAATTTCAAGTCTTAAATTTGTATATTGCTTCATTGTAATTGCAAACTTTAAGTCATTTCTATCGCTCTTTGACGTGACGTTATATTACAAAAAATGACGTTCCTATTGCATTTTTCTATCAAAACACTGCCATATTGCAATATCTATTTTTCAAAAAGTATAATAGATATTGAAAAAAGGAAAACGGTTATGAAAAGCGAAAATTCTACATTATCTATAATAAACATAACATTAATTTTTGAGAAGAGGCCGTTTTTGATGCTTCGTGGGTTTAGCTCTTTGATGAGAATATCTTGAATAGATTCTTTAAAATTGAAATTGAAATCTAAAAAGTTGGATATAGATGATAAATTTTCACCAAATTATGTATAAGTGCATAAGCTTACATAAATATATCTTAAATGGTTTCTTTAAAATTAAGCAAAATGCAAATTTTAGTAAAATGAGGTCAAGGTCCCAGAAAAGTTCAAGGTCAAACATTCTTGATGCAGTTGGATAGTTCTCATAAATACGTATTAGCATATTAAGTTTGATAAAATATTTTGAATGGTTTATTTAAAACTGAGCTAAACACTAATTTAAAATAAATGAAGTTAAAGTCAAAGGAAAGGTCAAGGTCAAAAAATGTTGATGCAGTTGAAAAAGTTACATCAGTATGTATTAGGATATGAAGTTTGATAAAAATATTATAACTAGTTTCTTTAAAACTGAGCTAAACACTAATTTAAGAAAAGTGAGGTCAAGGTCAAAGGAAAGGTCAAGGTCAAAGAATATTGATGAAGTTGAATAGCTCTCATCAGTATGTATCAGCATATGAAGTTTGACACTAATTTAAGAAAAGTAAGTCAAGGTCAAAAGAAAGGTCAAGGTCAAAGAATATTGATGCAGTTGAATAGCTCTCATCAGTATGTATCAGCATATGAAGTTTGACACTAATTTAAGAAAAGTAAGTCAAGGTCAAAGGAAAGGTCAAGGTCAAATAATATTGATGCAGTTGAATAGTTCTCATCAGTATGTATCAGCATATGAAGTTTGACATTAATTTAAGAAAAGTGAGGTCAAGGTCAAAGGAAAGGTCAAGGGCAAAAAATGTTGATGCAGTTGAATAGCTCTCATCAATCTGTATCAACATATGAAGTTTGATAACACTATCTTGAATGGTATCTTTAAAAGCGAGCTAAACACTTATTTAAGAAAAGTGAGGTCAAGGTGAAAGGAAAGGTCAGGGTAAAAAATATTGATGCAGTTGAATAGCTCACATCAGTATGTATCAGCATATGAAGTTTGTTAAAAATATCTTGAATGGTTTCATTAAAACTGAGCTAAACACTAATTTAAGAAAAGTGAGGTCAAGGTCAAAAAAAGTTGATTCAGTTGAATAGCTTACATCAGTATGTATCAACATATGAAGTTTGATTACACTATCTTGAATGGTATCTTTAAAACTGAGCTAAACACTAATTTAAGAAAAGTGAGGTCAAGGTCAAAGGAATGGTCAAGGTCAAAAAATGTTGATGCAGTTGCATAGCTCTCATCAATATCTATCAGCATATGAAGTTTGAAAAAATATCTTGAATAGTTTCTTTGAAACTGAGCTTTGAACAGAGCTAAACGAAAAGTCTGACGGAAGGACAGAAGGACGGAAGACGGACATGACAAACACTATATGCCCCGGCCATATTCATGGCGGGGCATAAAATTTTTTGTCCAATTCTGTTATTCAATAGACCTTTCAATTATATCATTTACAGTGATTAATTACCGTAGGTGAATAGCGAAGGAGAATAAATTCTTTCAGTAGAAAACAAATTAATAAATTTACCAAATGGTACAGATTTTCTAAAATCTGGTAAAAATACCCTTGCTTAATACTTTATATACTCCTTTTGCCTCCTAGATGTACAGGGAGCGGAGAAGACGATTTTCAAGAAATAATGCAGTTTTACTATATATTCAAATGAGCCGAACCCTAACACCAAAATCCCCTGACCCAATTGTTATGAATTTTAAACTTTTTGAAAAGACATTCTTGCTCATTATAACCATGCAGTTAGTTTCGCTGCTAAATACCCAGGGGCAAAGATGATTTTCAAAGAAATAATTCATTTTCACGATATATTCCACACACACACACACACACACACACACACCCCTCGCACCTAAACCCCTGACCCTGGGGCCACAATATTCACAATTCTGGAAAAGACAACCTTGCTCATCATAGCCATACATTTAGTTTATCTGCTAAAAACCCAGGAGCAATGACAAAGATTTTCAAAGAATTAATGCAATTTCACAACATAATCAATAGAGCCCCGCCCTATCACCAGAACCCCTTACCAAAGGCCATGAAATTCACAATTTTAGAAGCGTTACCCTTTTTCATCAGAACTATGCGCTTGGTTGATTTTTTTTTAAACCCAGTAGCAGAAAAGAAGATTTTTTTAAAAAGAAAATGCACTTTCACTAAAGAATCATTAGAGCCCCCTCCCCCCATTCCACAGAACCCCTGAGGGCCACAATTTTGGAGGAGGCACTCTTAATCATCGTAACAGTGCACTTAGTTTCTCTTCTAAATGCCCGGGAGCAGAGAAGATTTTCAAATGAATTAAAGCATGTTCACTATATAATCAATGGAGCCCCGCCCTGACACAAAAAAAAAACTAACCCAGATGCCATGAAATTCACAATTTTGGAAGAGGCACCTTTGATTATCATAACTATGCGCTTAGTTTATCTCCAAAATACCAATAAGCAGAGAAGATTTTCAAAGAAATAATGCATTTTCACTATATATACACTAGATATACAGCAGACCCCCCCCCCCCCCACCACCACCACCACCAAAAAAAAAAAAACCCTGAACCCCTGACCTGGGGCCAGGAACTTCACAATTTCTGAAGAGGCACCTTTGCTAACCATAACCATTCACTCTGGGTTTTTTCTTTAATACCCAAGAGCAGAGAAAAAGATTTTCAAAGAAAGAATGCATTTTCACTATATACTCAAGAGAGCCCCACCCCAACACCAAAACCCCCGACCCAGGGGTCACAATTTTGGAAGAGGTACCCTTGCTCATTATAACCTTTTTTTTATTTGCTTAATACACAGAAGCAGAGAAGAGAAGAAGAAATAATGTCCTTTCAACATGATATTTAATTGCACTTTCACTTTATATTCAATAGAGCTCCCCCTCCCGCAGAACCCTTCACCCTTTGTCCACAAATTTCACAATTTTGGAAGAGGCACCCTTGATCATCATAACCGTGCATCTAGTTTATCTGCTTCATATACAGTGGTAGAGAAGATTTTAAAAGAATTTATGCATTTTCACTGTATGATCATTACAGTCCCACCCTAACTCTAGACCCCCTGACCCTGGGGCCATGAATTTCACAATTTTGGTAGAAGATTCAATGCTTATTACAATCATGCAAACAGTTTGGCTGCTTGATGTCTGGGAGTAAAGAAGATTTTTAAAGATAGCACTAATTTCGATGGTTTTAGCCCCACCTCTCAGGCCCCAAGGAGGCAGGGACCATGAAATGCACAACTTTTGGTCCCCTTTACTCAAAGATGTTCTACGCCAAAATTGGTTGAAATTGGTTCAGCGGTTCCGAAGAACAAACTGAAAATGTTCAAATGTTAACCGACGACGCAAAACGCACGACCACGGACGAAAACTGATAGCAATAGGTCACCTGAGTGACTCAGGTGACCTAATAATATTATCACAGCACGATCCTACATAACAACATTAAAAAAAACTTTTTTTATATATTTACCCCTGCTTCGGCCCAGGTAGATGTTGTGTGACTGAAAAAATAGCATTTATCGTGGTACTGAACGAATCCATCACTGCAGCCTGTAATTTTATATATAGTATTTCATTTACTTCAAGGTAGTGCAATCCTCAGGTTCTGAAACTTAGCAGTGAAGTAATTTAAAATGCTCACAAAGATTTCAATTTCAAGCTCTATTTTTAGACTTAATTAATTAAACAATAATTCTATTGGTTATCCTTCCTGGCTGCGAGGAGCCCTTAATAAAATATATATTCATTGGTGGTGTGTAAGACTGATCATAGAAACAGATATATTTATTCAGACAGAATATTACCTCTTTCGAAATGGGCTAGATTTAGTGTTTAGCATCTTGCTCATTTGTAAACATCATCACTTGTAACAGCATATCACCATTCTTATTGTAAACATTTTTCAGGTAATATTATTAAGAACTCGCCTTCTTTCTACGTGTGCGTGATAAAAATAAATACTTACAATGAACAAATGATACTGAAAAGAATATGGATATCACGAAATATGTATACATCTTTGGTGGAGTCATAACTATTCCACAGATATGTTATATGTTAGATATGAGACTGATTTCGTTGTTCTCCTTATCTAGCGTTAACGGTGCTCGCTCCTTAATCGGAAGGTCGTGGCTTCAAGCCCCGGCTGCGACTGACCTAAGTCGACAAAAAAAAGGTAGCAACTGTTCCTTTGCCAAGCGTTCGGTACTTTGAAGTGACAGTTGCTGGTCTTTCGGATGAGACCTTAAAAACCGAGGCCCTGTGTCACGACAGGAAGTAGAAGGCGTTGGATAAAGATTTCTCGCTGCACAATGGTCCTGAGTGCCTCAATTTGAAGCCCTTCGCCTATACATGGTGACGTCTCTATACGAGTGAAAAATTCTCGAATGGGACGTAAAACAATACAATCAATCAATCAATCTAGCATTAACGTACCCTAATCACGTGTATGGTTCTCCGATCATTGAATATTGCATTAATGAAAGTTTTTCTTGCCAGAATTTTCATGTATGTATATCAGTTTAGAAAATTGATAGCAAATAGCCTTTAACTTATTGATGTCAAGGTATATTTCTTCGCATAAGTAATTGCCTTTTAGTGCAATTTGGGGACGATGTGAATTGAATTAATACAAATTAACAGCAGATCAAGGTGTTTGCACATTAAAGAATATACACATGTATATTTTTGACTGTCTGGATAAATCGGAAATTTTTGAAAGAATAACAATGACTTGCAATGTATTGATTTAAAAATTTTCTGGTTTGATTTTCTTATATTGTCTTCTGTAGGTAATATCTCAAATACTACCATATATTTTAAGTGGTGCTCTTGGTAAGAATGCGCATCTGGTGCATCAGAATTGGTACCGTATATGATTTACATTATGTCTCCTAGGTCGAGGCCTCTGCTGGTGGACTGTTAGTCCCCGAGGGTCTCTACAGCCCAGTAGCTAAGTATTTCGGTAAAAGCTTGAAAATACGGATATATATTTAATTGCTGTGGTAAAATTTAGAAATTTATTTCAAAATTAAGGATTATCTCCCTCATGCATATCTCCGATCCTTCGACATATTTGGCTCCAGTCTTTGGCACCTTTTTTCAGCTCTTCAAAGGTTTTTTTTTTATCTAAATATTTTGGATTTCCAACGTTTCGGCATAAGCATCACTGAAGATACATAATTTGTCGAAATGCGCATCAAGATCTTTTTAAATTCGTATAAAAAATGAAAATTAGTTTAAAAACATAGTAACTATTTATTTAGGAGAGGCAAAAATTACGTCAAATAAAAGTACAATGTATATAGAGAATAATAACGAAATACTAATATATGGTGTTTGTAGAGGATTTCGGAATACTGGACGGTACCATATCTATATGACTAATTATAACTTTGCTGCTCTTCGGAAAATTTCTTAAAGATTATTTTCCTATGTAAAATTTGATTGCCTCCTATGCAGGGGGTCATGATTTAAACAAAATTGAATCTACACTATGTAGTGAATAAGTTTCGTCTTTTCTGGCCCAGTGGTCCTTGAGAAGAAAAGTTTTAAAATATGCAGTTGAACTTTTACTATTTCTAAAAGCTGAATTCTTCTCCCCTTGATGAAAGAGGGCGTGGTCCTTTATTTGTACAAATTTTAATCTCCATATCCAAGGATGTTTTGTGGCAAGTGTTGTAGACATTGGCCCTGTGGTTTCTAGAGAAGAACTCCAAATGTGAAAAATTTACAAACAGACAGAAAGACTGACCCCAGGCAAAATGTAATCAAAAAATCTCACTTGAGCTTTCAGTTCAGGTGAGCTTACAAAACATTTAATTAAATATAGAATATTTTCGAAGAGCAGGTTGAGAAAGCAAGGCAAAACTGTGGAATGGATCATACTGTACAGGACTAAATGGACAGTCTAAACACCTTTGGACGGCAGGTGGGACAGAGAATCAGAAGACAGAAACAATGGCCCTTAACGTGGACGCACTTGCTCCTGTAAAAGTGAACGGAACAGACTTCATCAGGCAGATAGCTTTACGTACCTCGGTAGCAGCATCAAATCTGAGGGTGGCATAAACGAAGACGAATAGACAGAAGTCAACATCAAGCTAAAAATATACCAGAGCTGTGTCGTCATTCCTGTATGGATCCGGATGCTGGAGGATAACGGAAGCTTATCCACCCAGGCTCTGCTTTCGCACCACATGCCTTCGTAGAGTCCCTTAAATATTCTAGCCAGAAAGCTCTCTTATGAAGACCTGCTTAGGAGATGCAGACAGAAGGACTTGGGTTTCATCACTCGGGCACGTAGTCTGCCCCCTCCCCCCCCCTTTTTTTTTTTTTGCAAACATAACTTTTTACTGTTGAAAATGTAAATTGAAAGGCTGCCCCCCCCCCCGTACACTTTCTGTTGCAGTATAGTCAAATCGGGGTAATGTTGTTAATTTATGAATAAAATTTGGTTGTGAAAGAAATTGAGAAGTTGAACCCCCCTCCACAACTTACCCCGACATAGGACTTCGACTATGGACAATTTTCCCTCTCTTATTTTTTTTTTTTTTTATTATTATTTTTTTTATTATTTATTTTTATTTTTATTATTTTTTTTTTTTTTGCCTGTCAGTTTTTTTTTTCAGACTAGTTGTGTCATTTTTTTTTCTGCCCCCCCCCCCTTCAAAAAAGATAAATATTAAGTGCCTGTCAAGAGACAGTGGGGAAGAACAAGGTATGTGCTACGGAGAGAGTCACTAGAAAGATATACTAGTAGGTAGATCAAGAACAACATAGGGAAGAGCAATCGAGAACGAGATGAAAACTATACCGCACTCTTGGGGATCATTGACTAAACGGGTCCAGGACAGACAGAGGTGGAAAGACTTTGTTGCCGCCCAAGACACCATACTATGATAGGTGTACAATGGCCGATGATAATGCTATATTATAACCAACAACCCTCCACCCCTTCCTACACACACTACAAAACCTAAGCTTAGGGTTCTCAGTTTATCTTAAAAAGCCATAATAAAAAGTTTTCAGATTTTTAAGTTAAAAGATTTCAAGGTAAAAGTAAACTTGTATCGCAGTCCAGGGAGATTAACTGTAATTCTTCACAGGTACTTGGGAAATGGCATATAAATATGTATGTACCTTATTGATACGTAAAAGGGTAATTTTTTCACATATCAATAAGGTACATACGGTATATATTTATAAACCAAGACCCAAGTACTGTACCTGTGTAATTCTTAACTGAAAAATTATGTTGAAACTCTTTGGAATTTTATCTCCCTTTTACTACACACATATATACGTATGAATTATGAGCATGGCATTCTTTAGTAATGTTACCTTTTTCATTCTACCTACTATCTTTCAATCTCTGAAATAGGCTTTTTGTGTTTTGTTTTTTAATTCATTTAAAATTTCCCGCTTGGATCATTAGAGCATCTTGTGACTCTCACGTGATTAGGTATTTGCTTGCATAAGATCAAAATGGCACGCTTTCCTATTGAGGAAATATTTTCTCTTTGCATATTGGTCGTGTTTTTATTATTTGAGACATGTCATGCTCATCTTTGTCTAATAAGCCCTACACAAAGAGGTTCTCTTGCAGGAATTAACAAAGAAGGTATTAGTAAATCAGTCGATATCGGAAGAAAAATACTGTAGGCCACAGCGACTTAATTGCTCCCGAAGTGTAAAGAAATATTTTAAAATTTAATAGTTTTTTGTTGTTGTTTTTTTTTTTTTTTGGGGGGGGGGGGGTTTGTTTTGCACTGAAATGTATAGATTTATACATAAATTTCAATTCAAGAACTTAAATTTATTAAGATATATACCTAGATATAGGCCTACATAACATAGTGAAAAGGTAAATGATTTGTTTATTTTTGACAGGTAATGATAACTGCTTCCAAATTAAAGGGCCATGTGGAAAACTCCCACAGAGTAAAGATGGTGTTATTGTGAGGCATGTATTATGGCAACAACTTGTGTACTTTTTTCTTGGCTCATGCCCATATAGATATTGTACAAAACATAATTACCGTTTCTACAGTCCATTAGGACATTGTGCCACTTGACTAATTAAGGCTTAAAGCTTATTTTAATCTGAATATAAAATAAACTTTTAAAATGGAGTGTTTTTAATTTTTTTCTTCTTCTTCTTCAGGCCAGGGCAAACATTGAGTGTTACATTTCAGAAGAATTTGGACCATTTTCTGAGTTCTTCGCCTGTATGTTTTCTTAACAAATGATGTTGCATTTTGAATAATATAATATATGAATGTAATTTGTCTTTAAATGATCACTGCTTCATTCAGAAATTATTATTGTTTGAATATTCAGGTCAGAAAAGTCTAGTATGATCACATTTTGTATCCTGGTCAGACTTTGTATTTTATAAGAGGAAAAAAAAAACAGAATATATCAATATGTGATTTTAATTTAGAGAATATTAATTTGATAAAAGCAAAACTGTTTTAAAATTTTCAGGGTAACTTTACTGTGGCCTTTGGTCGTGCCACCACATTTCAGATACTGACTACTGTACCAGACAAGGGGGAGAAATCACTGACTCTCTACACAGCTTTGGTGAAAATTCCGTACGTATGCAGCTACAGTTAATGTCGTATTAAAAAATACATATTTACATTAGTTTAACAAATGCTTTATTATATACACCAATAATATTTTTCAGGCTTGTGAAAGGAAGCTATGCTATTCAGGTGAGTTTGTTATTATGCATACTACTGTATTGACCAAGAGATAATTTTTTATTCAATGTTTCTTGATATGTTTTTCAAGATAGTGGAAATCTAATTATTGCTTTATTTTATTTCAAGGTGATATATAACACCAATAACCCTAAAGCTCCAGCACAATTTTTCCAGTGTGCAGACATTATGGTGGAGAATTTGTGAAAGTGTGAACATACACATACAGATGGAGAATATTCATTCCTTCAGTAGTCTGTTTTTCTGCCTAGATCTGTTAAATAGAATTGTACTTCATAGACTTGGAAACATTTAAATACTGACTCTTCCTTGTGTGAACACTTCACGATTATATTAATTAATAGTGAGTTATTATTTGTAATACAAACTTTGTAATTATTAGTTGTCTTTGCACCTCAGAGAGAGATGGTGAGAGATTCAAAACAAGAGGCCCATGGGCCACTGGGCCACATCGCTCACCTGAGCACATTGGCTAGGAAAAAAAAAAGCAAAAATCAGTTAAGTATTGAAAAGTTAACGAGGGGGGGGGGGGTGAATTTTAAACTACCTGATGATGCTTTCATATCAATATAACAAATGGCGTTGCTGTTCTTGAGCAGAAGATTTTTTCCCATATATTCATTTGTAAAAATTTGATCCCCCATTGTGGCCCCACCCTACCCCCGGGGCCCCTCATTTGAACAAATTTCATTCCACACTACCCAAGGATGCCTCCATATCAATTTTACTAATCATGGCTTTTCTGTTCTAGAGGAAAAGATTTTTTCCTGTATATTTCTATGTAAAAGTTTGATCCCCCATTGTGGCCCCTCCCTACCCCGGGGGTCATGATTTGAACAAACTTGAATCTACACTACCTGAGGATGTTTCCACATAAGTTTAATCTTTCCTGGCCCAGTGGTTCTTGAGAAGAAGATTTTTAAATGATGCCATTATTTTTTCACTAATTCCGAATTATCTCCCCTTGAAAGAGGGCGTGGCCCTTCATTTGAACAAACTTGAATCCCCTTCACCCAAGGATACTTTGTGGCAAGTTTGGTTGAATTTGGCCCAGTGGTTCTTGAGAAGAAGTCGAAAATGTGAAAAGTTTACAGACAGACGGACGCCGGACAAAAAGTGATCAGAAAAGCTCACTTGAGCCTTCGGCTCAGGTGAGCTAAAAATATTTTGCTCAAAGCAAATAGAGAGAGAAGAAGGATACTATAGCAATCATTTATTTATAACTGTCAGTATTGTCTCAGACTTGATTGGAAGACTTTTGTTTTGTTGATATACCATGAATACCATAATTGCTCTAGAAATATATCACATTAGATTTAGATGAAAATATAACACACAGAAAAATTAAATAAAAACAAATTGGGTAAATGGGAGAGAAGAATATATAATTATACATATGTATAATATAAGATATAATATATGATATAGAGAATATTCAATGTTTTGTAGATGAATATGGGATTTATTTCACGAGTGGGATGGGATTTTTTGATATTTTCACTCATGCTTCGCACTCGTGAAAATATCAAAAAATCCTGTCTCACGAGTGAAATAAATTCCATATTCATCTACAAAACATTGAATTTTCTGTTTATTACATTTTCTTAGATTTTCCCTCTGCCTCTGTCTTTTCGTTACACAGTGTCGTAGGCTGTGACGTCATAGTTGAGCGGTTGAGACGTCATAGCTAAGTGATTGCTAGATTGAAAAACATTGTAAACATGGATTTTTAATGACATATTTGGAAAAACTTCGGCAGTATAACTATTAGTTTCTGCCAGGATGGCTCATTAACTTGATCTTATAACAGGCAAGGAAATTTTTAAAAAACACTCTTCGTGAAGGGAAGGAAAATTGTAAGTTTTGCCACACTTCTGATATTCTCACACTGTGAGAATACCATTTTGATATCCTTTCACACTGTGTCAGAATATCACTTTTATTCAGTAAATAAATTACAGTATTTCACTGTTGAAAATGTAATAAATATACATATCTTAATTTGTGTCATTAAATATCTTGCATAATACACTGTACATATTTGTTTCTTAATGTACATGTATAAAGAATCTTTTTCTTTGATATATACCTCTATCATAAACTATGTTTTCACTTCTTATTTTGTATTATGCCAAATGAAATATTTTCAAACTTCTTTTGAAGACTTTTTCTTGTGTTAATTCTATTGGTTAAGCAGCTGTCAAGTTAATTAAACAGTGTGCATTTATAACAAAAATTACCTGCAGTACTGCAGAGTATAGGTAATATATGCACAATCTTTAGAATCCACAATAAAAACAGACTGACGAAGGTATGATTTGAAGTCAACAACCACTCAGCAGTGTTAGCCAAATTCATTGAAATGTCATAAGATTCAGATTTCTTCAATATGACTGTCTGGGTAGAGATAGGAACACCAAGATCCAAAGCAATCTTTCATTATTTAATCCTTTCCTGATGAGGTGCAAGGCCAACATGCAACCAACATTATGTGAGCTATATGTAAAATCTAGTTTGTTCAAACAATGGCCACTTCGCAGGAATGAGGACAAAACGGAGGTTATATAAGTTTTAAATAGTAATACAAGTATATTGGATAAAATTTAAAAACACATACAATTGGTACCAATTGTTAAAATGCTGTGGAATATGCAAGCATTAGTGTAAGGTTGACTTAAGATTGTTAAAATTACAGCCCCTGGACAGCAAAGCTGGGAGAAGTCATGTACTGTAATTCAATATTCATTTTACAGAAATCTGATTGAAAAGGAACAATACAATTAATATAAATAGTCAAAGTACGTAATATATAATGACTGCATGTCCTGTTTTAGTGTAGATTCAAACTTTTCAAACCCTTGCTTTTTGAAAGAGCATGCTAGGGTAGAGTTTAATTTCTGATCAGTTCCTTTTTTTCTAAAGAGTTGATAATAAACTACCAGTATAAGCTTGCAATTAACCTGATGACATTCCTCAGAAAATCTGCCTTATGACATTAATGCTTTTCAGGCTCCTTATTAACTTGTTAACCCCCTCCTGCAAAAACACACCACAAAACCTAACCAAAGAAAATTAGATTTGACTACTCTGGCCAGATGCCTCAATGGTATTGCACCTGTCAAGGGTGCAAAGAGCCTGATTTGGAATCCTGTGGTCTGTGGCATTTTCTTCTTTTCTGTGGCAGTGTGCAATATGGTTGGTCTTTCCAAACAAACTTGCATATATTCCGATATCTTTCATTTTACATTTGGAATGTGTTATTTACAATTGTAGTATATATATAAAAGTTTGTAATTTCATCTCATGAGTGACCTGTCATGGTATCCTAGGATAGGGCATTTGCTTCGTGATAGGGAGGCCCAGGTTTGATTCTCATTAGCCGTGCCTCATCAAACCCAAGACATCAATTATAGGTAGTGACTGTTCCTTCACCAAGTGCTCAGAATCACAGGTGTTTCAGATGAGACCTGAAAAACCCAGGTCGATCCCTTGTCACGGTAGGCATGATAAAGAACCCTCACTGCTCAATGGCCCTGAGTGCCAAGTATATAAGGTCTAAATTTGAATTAGCCATCACCGTTATATGGTGACGTCTCTATATGAGTGAAAAATTCTCAGATGGGATGTTAAACAACATAAAATCAACCAGACCTATATCTTGAGGCCAAGCCTAAGGAATAGGTCTCATCAAGAGGAATCAACTCCTGAAATGCTATACATTAAGTGGTTTTAATTTACTGCTACAAATTAAACTTTAGATCAAGGTTCTGCCAACAAATCACTGACTCACTGTTGATAGATTCTGTTCACAACTGTCAGGTAGACCAGCCCATATCATCACCACTGGCCAATCTCGAACCATGAAATTTACATTGGGTGTTTTCGGGAACAATAGTTAATTCAAGGGGCTTTTAGGGATTAATGAAGCAATATTATTTAGTAAATTACTTTTATATAAATGTAGTGAAGAATTAGTAGAGGTACATGTATATAACAACATACATGTATACCAAGATGTTCCCATATCTATAATGCATCATTGCTGATACTTATATTGAATCTCAAGTACACTTATAAATTGATTTGATTTTTTTCCCCCTAGTGTGGCAAATATTTGTTTTAACAGGAACTGGAGTTAATTTTAAGAATGTGTTATGTTAAGACAATTCATTAAGATATATTCATATAGAAAGATCTAAACAACAGAATACTAGTATACTAAAAACTAAAAGTTAAAATACGCTTTGAAAAAAATCTTTAATTCAAAACATGATAAAAAAAAATAAAACTATATATGGAGATAAAGCAATAAATTCATCACAAGACTTTATTAATTTAATTTATTTTTTCATAATTTAATATGTATAAATTCACAACAAATCCATTATTACTAACTGGAAGTGGAAAACTTGACTTTAAATGCATGGTTCAAAATAAAAAAGATTTTTTTTAATTTAAGATCTACATAAATACATGAATCAAATAACATAGAGAGAACAAGCAGTTCCTTCTAAAATACATGTCAAAATTATTGTATCATTCATTGAGGGGTCATGATATATCAATATGGTGATCCAAATATTTTAAAATTGAAGCTACTTTTTATTAATATCAGGGAATAATAACACTAAACTCTAACTTATATTCTACTGCTTACAGAAGTTATAACATCTATTGATGTAAAATGCTCACATATAGAAAGGTCATTCTACACACATATAGGTCAAGGGTCACATATTTACAACAATAGGTAACTTTGGGATAAAAAAAAAAGAAATGTAAACTGTAACATGAGAAAATTCTTCAGTAAATGTGCAATATCACAACTGTAAATTGAAGCATGTTGGGAATATTGTATTTTAAATGAGGTAATTGTTAAAAGTATTCCTGTCCGAATACCTTGTTTGGCTTCTGAAAATTCACAACCATAATTGCACTGAATCAAAGAGAAAGAAAGACAATAAAGTCATTGTCAACATATAAGTGTTTACAATATGAGTAAAATATGAAGAATCTAAAAATATTATTGCATTTTTAAATCTCTTTGTAAGGTGTTATTACAACTCTGTGACAATCTAATCAGGTTGTTTCTCTTAGATTTTATGTTTGGACTTTTTCAATCAAAATTTAGAGAATTCTTTTTACCGAGGAAATCAGAAACTTTAAAATGTTTCATTTAACCTGGCCAAAAAATCATATATTATGTATAAATTTCAATAATTAATTTACTTCAAGGTTAATTTCAGTTGTGAGTTATCATGAAGATTCCAACTAATGATTGCATCTCACACAACAGTGCTGAGTATGGACAGATTGACATTTCATGAATAAATCATATGGCAAACTTATTCAAAAACAAATCGGTTTACAGAAAAAAAAGCTGTGGAATGAAAGGATAAAATCAGCTGTCAAATTCACAGTTGGTTCACTCATTGCATTCTGGGATTTCTGTATCATCAACATATAGTTTGTGTATTATTCCGTCACGTCTTTTTCCACTACTAATGGCCGTAATGTGAGCAGAATGAGCGCCTATCTGAAAATGAGTTTCAGTTCCCTCCTCTCCAAATTCTCCCTGAAAAAGACCAAAAGGTTGAAAGCATTGATTTCAGCACTGAACATTAACTTTTTTGCAATACATCATGTTACCAGTCACATAAGATGAGCATATGAATTACTCACATTATGAAAAATGTTGTGTGTGTATGGGGTAGGGGGTTACACATTCTCAAAAATTGCTTTCTTTGGCACATAATATAGCTAACACTATTTACTGAGGGCTCATTCTCTAAATAAAATTCTACACACATTCTCATTTACCTGGTACTTATTGTCATGCAGTTTATGAATGTAAACTACTGTACAACAGCAGCTGAAGACATGAGACCCTCTTATATTTGACAACGCAACACAGTAACAATTTAAACTACAGCATGTACTTACAAAAGTTTCCACTTTGTCTCCATTTACCCAAACATCCAAAGTGTCTTTTTCTGCAGAAAAAAAGCTTATATTATTATTTCAAAATCATACAGCTATAATTAACCCCATAATTTAACTTCTTTTTCCACCTACAAGTTATGCTGCTATTTTTACATGATTAAAAAACATACAAAAATGGAGCTATGATCATATATACCATTTTAATTTATCCTTCCCTGAAATTCCCTAACACATATGGTGCAGAAACTTACCTAAGCACACACGAATGGGGTTCCCTGCAATAGTCAGCACCCAGGCTTTTTGTATTTTACTCTGATTTTCTCTAAACTTGTTCAAACTTTTTCCATTAACTTCTAGGGTATATTCATAGGCAAATCCACTGACTGCATCTATTGTGATTGTACATTTAGCCTTGCTGTGTCCTATCTGAAAATGCTCCTTGCCAACCAACTTAAACATCCAGTCTGTCCTATAGATTTCCTAAAATGATCGAAACACGTATGTACATCTATAAATTTTAAAGTTTAATTATTTAAATACATACTGTACATTTCTTTTGTTGAAATATTTTTACTTCATTAATTTAAATCAGCTAGGATACATTGAAATCTTAATTTATTGTAAATTCCTTATTTTACGCGAGTACTTAATATCGCGAAATGACCCAAGGGCGTCAAATCGTGGGAACAAAAATTCACGAATCGGTGAGTTATATAGAGATTTTACATACATTAAAGCACCATAAAAATAAAAGCGAGTAATTTTATTTCACGAGTGATGCTCCTCGCGTAATTACGCGATAATTTATTCCTCGCGTATATTTAGGAATCTACAGTACCTTGCCATCTACTCTTATGACTCTTTTTCCAGATGTGGTTCCATGTTCAAATTCAATGTCATGGACACCATCAGGTAGAGCCACCTGCCATGTGGCCACAATGTCATTAGACATTATTAATCCTGTTCACAAATACAAAAGTTAAAACGTATATTATTGACAATTAATATGACAAAGTATATAAATATTCCATAAAGAGTTGGTATAACTCTACACACAGTCAATGGCTGTTACAGAAGCTACAAAATGTGAAGACAAGAAGTGTCAAAATCAATACAAATACCTAAGTTATGAAATATATTATGAATGGTTTAATTAAATCTGTTAATTATTAAGTACATGCTAACATGAAAGGACTTGTCCAAAACCCTGTTAGAGGGAATATCACTTCTGACACCTTTTGATCCTTGTTAGCACAATTAGTCACATGGCATTTACAAGATCTGTAATCAGTATAACTCCATACAGTGTCAATTTCTGGGACTACTTTCCCTATAAATAATGACTTTGCCTGTCAGTATATTGAGTTTCCTACTTCTGCGATATTCAAGCAGAAAGTCATTGCATGACAAAAATCAACAGTCAATACGAGGTAACACTGTGAATCATCAGTCATAGATAAGCTACATTATACCAAACAAGAATCGGACAGTGTCCTTATTGATTCAATAATTCTACATGTTTAGGTAAAAATAAAACAACTCTGACTGTTACTATAATCTTATTCAATGAATCCAGGTACAATTAGTATACATTGCTGTCGTTTAATCATTTACAATTTAGATGAATAAATCACAACTCTTATTCAGAGAAAGAAGATTGCAAGTATCAAAATGTGAGTATTGCAGCATTCCTACATAAAATTCATGTTGATTTTAATTGATTAACATTTGGATGAAAAATCAGTTTAAAAGAAGAATGAAACTGGTTTTGCATTATAAATTTTGATTACCGTATATACTCGCCTATAAGTCGGTCCGCCTATAAGTCGGTTGTATTTTGAAGCTTATATTAGATGAATGGACTTTCTAAAATACAATTTTTTTATAACTCCCCTATAAGTCGGACATAGAGATTTAGACCAAAGTTTAACTCCTAAAAATCCGACTTATAGGCGAGTATATACGGTAATTATATTTTTTTTTCGGGGCAGTTAGAAACAGAGGACACCCCCAGCACACACACTCCCACGTCCACCCTCACACAACACAACATTAAGAATATTTACTTATATTAAGCTTAATTATAATAATCAGTCAATTATTATAATGGAAGCTCAACAAATAGTAATGTTAGATGGCTTTAAAACAATCTCTGTCAGAATTCAAAAGAGCTATTCAAGATTAAGAAATATGATATTCAATACTAAACACATTTAGAGCATGGCATACTTTAAAATTCAAACCATCCATATGTGCACCAGATGAGGAGGGTTTAATGATAGAATTCATTCCAGGTGTTGGCTATGTAGCAAAATAAACAGGGGCATATAATTCTAATCTACACATTTACTATGAATAATGCAGAGAGTTCCAAAGGTCAACAGGTAAATCATCCTCGCAAGCCACGGGTCCTAAGTCAACACATTGCCGTTGGACCCCTGACATATTTCATTCAATAATCGTGGGCTTGCTTCTCTCATTGAGAAGCACCAATCAAATTAAAGCTTTCATAAATACTTGACAAGGATTCAGTTGACACATCAAATGCACGTGTTACAAGTTGTTTATCATAGAATGGCTTAATGTGATTGGTTGAGAGATAAGAAAAACAATCAAGATTTGTAATTTTTCCGAAAGACGTCGCTACAGTCAGCCCACAAATATTGAATGAAATATGCCAGGGGTCCAACGGCAACGTGTTGACTCAAGACCCCTGGCTTGCGAGGATGCAGGTAAATTCGAAGCGAGAAAAGCGTTGAGAAAATGAGTTGAATCTCCATCTTTATATAGATTTTTTTTTGTGTAAAAGGCCTATGCAAGTACAAAAATGTTTGTTATGATTAATTTGGTAGCTATCCTTTTGTACTCTTCAGCTCCAATTTAGCGCTACATTGCAACGTACTATATGGGACATATTCTTGCTGTAGAGAGGGTTCGTCCTGAAACAGATTATTCTGACTAGGTGGTCTCCTGAGTATGAGCTGTGTGCTTAAGGTTTATTGTCCCTCTGTCCACTCATATAAAATTTTTGCTTTAATCATTAATGATAATCATTATTATAAAATAAACCTTAAATATCATTGAAATGTGAACAATTTAAGGCATAAATATTAACACAAATCGCCTTTAAAATCGAAATTTTTTAAGGAGATAAAAACCATTAACGTCAGTAAGAGTTATCTCTCTTACGAGAGGGTCAATGAACCTTAATACGGTTAAACATTCATAGTTAGGGGCATTAGCTTGAGAAGCCATGTAGTATTATTCTTTTTGCTAAATGTACTAATATAAAACACATATTATCGTGATAGGTTGTGTGCATAAATATCGAAAGTTAAACATAGATAAGTCAAAATAACTTAATAAGTCAAAAACGTATCAAAATATGCTGCTGGGCAACACTTACACAAAATACGGGTACCTGGCCAACCCAACGGAAACGAAAGTAACCATTAAATCGTACATCTAATCCTCTTTTAGAAATTTCTAAAGTAAAAATGGATTTAACTCTCAGCTTGTTTATTTTTTTAATAATTTATTTTTTTAAACAAATGAAACAAAAACTTTGGCAACGTTAGAATTAAAGTTATCTCCAAATTCTACGAACAACTTATCAATTAGGCATTGTAAACAATATGGCGGATAATCAGACTTCGAGAAAGGTAAAATTAGCGTTTTTTAGTTAAATATGAAATTGCTGTAGAAATACAATAAAGTGCTTTAGCATTGAATATACTTTATATCTTACATAAGTGCATTCTTATTGTGCGTGTATCAAATTGTAGTTTCCTTAATAAGTAACTGAGTCTGTGCATTGCACTTGCACAGACTTGCAAGATGGAACTTGGAATGAATGCTGAGGCGCGAAAAAAATTCGAAATCGACTTTTTTTTCTCTACCTTATCAATCAAGTAGATGTTTGAAACATGACATCAACATGTGTCAACTGTACAACTGTAGTGATGTCCATGAAAATAAAATAATAAAGAAATAACTAATCACCATTCCCTTAAAATTAAAACTTGGGATTTAAATTAATAATATGTTAACAGTGCGACTGTTGGGGCAAGTGCATTGTTCACTTAATTTTAAGATCCGCCTCTTTAAACCGCACGAGACATTTGGAACATTTAGACTGTGACGTCACATGACGTTGTATGTTAGCTGCATTTCCATTACGAAGTTTTGAAAAGTGCAAAAATTTTAACAAAGAACGTTTAATCTACTATCTGTATGCAATATCCATTAAATTGAGGTGACTTTATTTTCTGTGAATTTTTGGTTGTTGTTATCCCACGAACAAAGTTAGCGGCGAGAACAACAAGTAAGAGATTGTGTGTCCAGAATTACTGCGGAAAATAATTCTATTGAATGAATGTGCAGTTGTCCGAATTTTCTCTTTGCCCAGGTGTTGTTGTTGGAGCTTGCTGAGCGGCGCTTTGCCCCGCTCGCAGCACTTTGAGCCGCTTGCTGCGCTCGCTATTATGACAGGAACGAATTTACTTTGCCAATAATATGTTGACAGTTCAACCACTGGGGCGACTGCAGGATATCTAATCATTTTTAATGCATCCGCCTCTTGGAACCTGCAGTCATTGAGACCATAGGCGCTAGGTTTCAGGATGGTGTGTTTTGTGTATTGTGTGTTTTCCTATGTCTGACTAAATACACTAATTTTACTAAATACACTAATTTTACAAAAAAATTAAATTGAAAATTGCTGAAATTAGCAAGAAAATGTATATTATGTACATAAAAAAATCACAAGATTCGCCACTCGTCAGCTTGGATTCTAGGGGGGCATCTCGATTCACATTTTTCCTACTGATGATTTAAATATCTAATCAATCATGTTGCTAGTTGTGCAAATAACTAGCCATTTCAACTACTCAAAAAAAAAACCATTATGTGCAGTATTTCAGTCTGAATGTTGGATCATGCATATGACCCCCTAATGACATCTCTCAAGGTTGGCAGCTATTTTGTACATGTATTATAAATGTGCATCAGAGAGATTGTTTTTAATTAAATTGCAATATATATGCCTTCTTCATCGCCAATCTACTTCTATCTAAATGAACAACTTAAATAATTAAAGTGTTTTTTCTTGTAGGTCACTTATGAAGAGGATACAAATATATCAAACTCCATGGCATCCTCAAATTATCAGGTAAAAAATTAGAACAATGATCTTTCCAATGAAAATCTAATTTTCCATTAATTGTTGCACAATTTTTCTATAAAATTTAAATCATTTTGTTTGATGATATTATTTTTTCCCCATTTTTACAAAGAATGAAGTTGATGAATGGACAGATGTAAACAGAAAGCTAAAAAACCATGGTCTTCCAATCATCAAGCTACTGCATCCCTCGGACGTGGCTCTCATGACAGGTGAATGTTGGAATAGACTTATTAGACAGGCAGGCTTAGTCAACAAAGCACGACATGATGTCATACTTATAGCTTAAAATTTCCAAATTCTTTAATTTCTCTCTTGAAAGATACAATTCCAATTCAAATTTTGCAATTTACCGTAGTAATTTCAGTAGATTTAATACATGATATCATAGTGGCTTCAGAGTTATTAATGCATTGTATTTTTTTATGTCACTATAGGCAGGACAGTATGCTTAGATACAGCCATGAGTAAAACACTGAGAGAGAATGTTTTATCCCTTGTGGCTGATTGTGATCACCGACAAACACTTATTCAGGATTTAATCATCACTAACAACAAACTTAAGTAAATGTTTATTTTACAATTCCTATTGAATTAATTAGTAGTCATTTGAAAAATAATTATGGTAACTGATGAATCACTCCATTAGGGCAGTTTTCCAAAGGATTGATACAAAAAAAAGATGAAATAGAAATAAATATTCTCTTTAATTAAAGGATAAACAACCTGATGAATAAGTAAAAAATATCAGTTAACAGAGTTATCTCTCTTGCCTCAGTACTCCATATTTTGTTTTTAGAGAAGATATGGAGAAGCAATCCAATTTGACATTAAAATACCATGGAAGGATGAAAGAATTGCAAGTGTTGCTAGAAAGTTCAAGGTCAAGAGTACAGGTGAGTATGACGATTTGTAAGTATCTTTGTAGGGGACTTTTTTTCTCAGAGGTCCAAGATCCTCATGCATAATTCTTTGGTTAAAAGAGGTAATGAAAGGAATTCTTTTTTGTGTGCAAAATAGAATGTCAGCTATATGATTAAACTTCATTTGAAGTGAATTACTGGATATTCTCAAGATTACCCATGAAAAAATTTGATGAGATAGTATAAGTTATGTAATGTGGTTCACTTAAAAACATAGACAAGAATCTGTATTATTGATAAAATACTTTCTACCCTATTTGGGTTTGTTTTCCTTCATGTTGGTTTGTTGTCCCTAGTTTGTTTCAGGAATAATCCCTGTCTTGTATTTTTATTAGGAGCTTGAGGAAGTGGGGTCTTCTAGGGGATCATTTATGACAGAAGAAGAGGAGAAACTTGTCAATACAAAGAATGCAATGCACATCAAGTGTAAACAGCTCACACAAAAATGTCAGAGCCAAGAAAGAGAAATAGAACGTCTGAAGTCCAAAATGCAAAAAATGGCCGAGGAGGTAAAAAGAAACAAAAAAGAAGAGGAGTTAAAAGCATTGGGGGGGGGGGGTCCTGATTAAATGATCAATTTTACTTTTACATTGGTATTCTAATTATTTTTCATGCCTTATACATAGATGCTTTACAGTTAGGAAGTGATGCTTTTTTATTAATGAATTGTTGGAAACTATTTTACATTTTACTACACTGACATTATATATGTATTTCAGGAAGATAAGCGTTCCTCCAGACAAAGCCAAGTCTTCCAGGAATTCAAGAAGAGAACCGCCAGAGCTCACAGTGTCATGGATGAAAAGTGAGTACTGTCTGAGCAGCTTATTTTGATGAGTGATTTTATATAGTGTGATTTAACAATTCCACAGGATTCTGATCCTCATTTTGCTAAAATTGACTGTATCATTTTGATGTTTTAATATCTCTTAAATAAATAAATCTTATTGAAATTAAAGACTTCCATAATGCAACATACATTTAGTTATACTTGAGGACTAAATGAAAATTTTCCAAATTTATCATAGTAAAAAAATTATAATGATTTCATCTTGTTAATAAGCAATTTTACTGTGTTTAACTGCTTCTTTTCTGCAAGTATGATAGAGTGATAGAGAAGATGCAAGCTTTTTTGGCTTATTCTTGCTTTTATATCACAGACTAATATTGTGTGCTTATTTTTCAGGTTATTAGATATTATAGATGCATATGAAAAACAGGTGCTAGGCTTGCAAAAGCAGGTTGAATTTTATAAGTAAGCTCTATTCTATCATTATATTCTTTCTCTTTACATATAATTTGTGCAATAAAAGAGAAAAAAATGTCTTGCAATAGCAGGTTACATTTAATGCTGATACTGTAAATATCCAAAATCCAATATAATTTTGTTGATTCATTGTTAAGCTTGTGAAGGAAGTTGCTGTACTTGTATTCATGTTCTTCTTTTAAGAATTGAGCAGTTGTTTACGTTTGGTTAACTCACTTTTTACTCTATAAACATTTAAAGACAGTGCCATGGTTTTAAAAAAAAAGATGATATTAATATTTTGAATTTTCTAAGACTGTAAACTTCATTGATATTGCTATGAATTATTTTATCTTTAGGCAGCATTGGTTAGTTACTTAGTTATTTACCAATACATATGTTTTAGATGTCATAGAGACAGAAAACAAATATGATAACCTGGTACATTGTACTGATATTCCTCATCACAGAACATGGATACATGATCTCCTAAATCATAAGATTTAACTATACATTTTATCATCATTAGGCTTGTCTTTAAATTATGCCAATTTTTATTCAGAAGGAGAAGTTGGGTATAAAATTGTACTCACTTTGGTTCCCCCCCCCCCCCTTGAAAAAAAAAGAAACAAACAAAACAAAAAAAAAATCTTTGCAAACTATATTTATAAAAAATTGTCCTACTTTGTCAATGCAATAGGTTTTTCATCTGGTAAATGTAAAATTTAAATATTATCTTTGATTTTATTTTTCAGGTCAGCAGAGCTTGGAGATACTCAGGACTTCAATGATGAGGAAAAGTCATTCTTCTCAGTCCAGAATGAGCCCTCACAAAACATGAAATCTTTAGTCAGGGTAAGTCTTCAGATATTGCCAGTCCCCAATGAAACAGTACACATTGTCAAAGTTAGTGTATATGTTTTCAAGTCAGTTTAAATGTATTGACAGAAGCAAGCCACGAAAATACAATAAACTTGTTTTAATGGTTAAGACTGTTATTATAGAATAAAGAAAACTAGGATGTTGTAGTCTGATAAATTTTGTCTAAAGTACAATGTAATCTATTCCACAGATGCAAATTTGACATCCTTATTTATTATCCCCA